CCAGGGGGGGGGGGGGGCCGCGTGCCCGCTCCGCGGGCCTCCTGCGCCGCACCTCTCTCTGTGGGCTCCCTGGCGTGCCGGGCCCGCCCTCGCGGCTCCCGGGGCCCGCGTCGGCCTCCCTCCCTCTCCCTTCGTCTCTCTCTCCCTCCCTCTCTCCCTCTCTCTCTCTCTCTCTCTCTCTCTTTCCCCTTGTCTTTGTCTCCCTCCCTCTCTCTCTCATTCTTTCCCCAGACCCCCTCGAGCAATGACCAAAAAATCGCGACGGGGGGGGGTCCACGTTTTCGGCCTCTGGGGGCCCTTCCTGGGCTTCGGGGCCGTCAAGAAACGGCCCAGGATGACGCACCGGCCCCAGGGAACGGGTCGGAACCTCCGGGGGTGGACGCCAGGAAAAAATCCTGACGTCGGGGATCCCGGTCTTTCTCTCTCTCTCTCTCTCTCTCTCTCTCGCTCGCTCTCTCACCCCACTTCTGCGACGACGTCATGTTGGTCCATCCCAGCGGCTCTTCTTTCGTCTCGGCCTCTGGGGCCGCTTTCGGGACCCAGGACCGCCAAGAGCGCACCAGGGACGGAGCCGTGGCATTTGGGCAGAGGTCGGGACCTCCGCGGGGCGGCGCTGCGCCCCGGCCGCCGCAACGCCTCCCTTCCGGGAGCGGCCGTTTTTCAGCGCGGGGGGCTTTGCAACGGCTGCTCCCCGGGAGGGTGCGGGTGCTGAGCACACTGCTCCCTGCTCTCCCGCCTCTCCTCCTGCCCTGGGTCTCCCTCAGCGCCCCCTGAGATCCGACGTCCGAAGACAAGTGGGAACGCCCATGATGCCCCCCCCCCAGGAAAAAAAGCAAAAACACGCCAGGACATCGGGCCCCCCCTCTCCTCCTCCCAACATCTGTCTCTGGGGCTCCCCCCCTTCGATCCGACGACGCGGAGAAACGTGCAACATCGTGAAAACTCCAGGTCGGAGCCCTCGACACCAATTTTTCGTCGGAGGGCGTCGGTGCCCGAAGCCACTTGCGAGAACGCCCAATCCGGAGAGAAGGCGCGGCCCAGGATCTCAGGGCCTCCTCCTCCTCCTCCTCCTCCTCCTCCTCCTCCTCCTCCTCATCCTCCTTCTCCTCCTCCTTTCCCTCCCTTCTGTCTCCTCCGCCCCAGCTTGACCTTCCCAGGGGTAGGAGGTCGAGGGCAACGCTGGAGGGGCATGGGCTCCCAGGGACACGCATCGACCCCCAAATGCCTGGTAGCCCACCGCGCCCCGGAACCCTCGGGCTCGCCATCGGGTGCCCGTCGCCGATCTGTCGGCGATGCAGCGCCGATGCCAGCCCGAGGTTGCTGTCCCTGGGCCAGTCCCCCTCGGTCTCGGGGCTCCCGTTGAGTCGGGCGTGTCCCTGTACCAAGAGGAATTTTCAAAAATGGTCAAAACATGAACTGGGGAGGATTTTGTTTTTGCTATTTTTGAACATCTGGGGGGTGTTGTTTGAGTATTTTTTATTTTTCACCCAAAATCCCCCTGTAGGGTACACGCCCGACTTGAGGCTCCCCCCCCCCACCTGCTCGCCCCCGCCTCCTCGGCCCCAACCCTCTGGGCCGGGGGCGCGGGCGGGCCCAGCTCCCCCCCCGCGGCGCCGCGCGCTCTTCTCGCAGCGCGGCCCCCCAGAGAGAGGTCTGGACCCCTTTTGCCCCGGGACCGGTTTCTCATCCTGAATTTAAGTCGGGCCTGTTCCCCATACAGGGGGAATTTCCACGAAACATCAAAAATACCCGACACATAGTCCAAACATAATCCAAAAATAGTCTGGGGACTATGGGGACTATTGTTTTGTATTTTTTTTGGGGGGGGGGGGGGGGGGGGGGGGTGGGGGGGGGGTGGGCAAATTTGGGGTATTTATTATTTTTCGTTGAAAATCCCCCTGTAGGGGGACACGCCCGACATAATCCTGAATCCCGAGACACCCCAGACGTCATGAATGTTTAATGACGTCGACCACCAGAAGCGTCGACTTCTTCCATCGTGCTCCCTGGGACTGGTTTTGCATCCTGAGTCGTTTGTTGACGGCCCCGAGGCCCGGGGAGGGCCCCCAGAGGCCAAAAATGGCGAAAAACAGCCCGTGGTGATTATTTCACTGCGCAAGGGGATCTGGGTCGTTTCTTGACTCGGACGGGGCTGGGAGTCGGAACAATCCGTTCCAGAGCGTTCCGGAAGGCTCTCTGAGAGCGCTCCGGAACGCTCCGAGAAGGCCGCGGCGCCCGAGACATCCTCCATGAGCCGCCGGATCTCAGAGATTCTCGATGTATCCTCACCCGATGTTTGCCTCGTCCTGGTTTCGTCTTGTTGACGGTCCCGGGGCACGGTGAGGGCCGCGAGAGCCCGAGAGCCGCCAGCAACAAAAGACGTCGTGCTTGCTTGCGCGGGTCGACGGGGTCTAGGGGGGCGCCGACCTGCCGGCGAAGCACCACCGATCCCAGCTCGATGTTTCCTGGGGGGGCACTTTTTCATCCCAGATCCTTTTTGCTGTCAGTCACGACGCCCGTCGAGGGCCTCGAGAGGCCGAAAATCGACAAAAACCTTACGTCGATGTCTTCGCGACTCGAGGGGGTCTTGGGGGGGGCGCCGCCGCCGCAGAGGAGGCACCGGCAAGAGCGCGGTCACCATCCACGACTTCCAGAACATGGCCTATCCAGGTGCGCCTCGCGGCCTCTGCCAGCGCTTGTGTGCCTCCAGCCATGACCGTGGGGGGGCGTGGGGGGGGGGGGGGGGGCAAACACCTCCAGATTCTGGAAGGCAGTCCAGCGAGGAGTCGGATCCCCTCGCGTCGAAATTAACCTCCTCCTCCTCCTCCTCCTCCTCCTACGCCTACTCCTACTCTCTCCTACTCCTACCTCCTCCTACTCTCTCTACTCCTACCCCTCTTTCTCCTTCTCCTCCTCCTTGTTTCCTCCTCCTCCTCCTCCTCCTCCTCCTCCTCCTCCTCCTCCTCCTCCTCCTCCTCCTCCTCCTCCTCCTCCCCCTCCACCCCCAGAAGTGTCGGTCGGGTGGGCCAGGCGTTTTGCTTGAGACACTTCTTATCTTAAAGCTTGATCGGAACTTGAAAGTTGCAAAAGTTTCAAGGATGGAGGGCGAGTCGTTTTCAAAATGTGGTTCTCGCCCTTCCGCCCCGCACGCTTTTCCCAAAAGTTTCCAGCAGCTTCACGGATGGAGGGCGGGCCGTTGTGAAAATGTTGTTCCCGCCTGAGCGCCGCGCACATTCGTCCCAATAGCTTGCAACAGCTTCACGGATGGAGGGCGGCTCTTTTTCAAAATGTCGTTATGATTCTAGCGCCGCGCACATTCGTTTTGAAAGTTCACCACTGCATCGACGATTCACATGGCCGAAGTCCCAGGAATTGTGTTCTGGTACGATTTAGGATTGCCAAGACGCAACTGTCACGTCAGCGACGCGAGGAAACAGGGCCGTCTTCGCCGACATTGGCGCGCAAGTTGCCCGCGTAAGGTCGCGCGTGAGCGCCCTCGCTTCGAGCGTGGCGTGCCGTGCTGACGGCCCGCGCAAGCCACCGCGTGAGGTCGCCACGCCGTCTCGCGCGGGACCCGGCTTTGCTCGTCGCCCACGTGGTTTCGCGGTGCTGGAGCACCCGTTCTGGCAAGATTTCGGGGGGGGGGGGTCGGTCCTCACGCGGCAGGGGCCCGTCCCTCGGAACAGAGCTTGTGGAGGCAGCGGCAGCTGAACATCGGTCCCCTGGACCCCTCCAAGGGTCCGAGCGCGCCCTCCTCCGAGTATCACGGAGGGTGTCGGTGGGGCCGCGCCCCGGGCGGCGGCAGCGACGGCGTTGGCGCGGCGTGGAGAGCGCGGCCGACGGCGACGGGCAGCGGGCTGTCACGACGCAGCGGTCAGAGTACCGCGCCGGCTGCTCCCCACAGCCGCGCGCGGCCGCTCGGCCGCGAGGGCGCTCGACGCCGCTCCCGAGAGGAGCTCCGTGCGGCTTCGAAGGCACAGCCATCAGCGACCCCTCTGCGGCACGGGAGCGCCCTGAGCAGGGCGTGCCCACCACCAAATTCTGCAGCAGAGGAGGAGGAGGAGGAGGGGGAGGAGGAGGAGTAGGAGGAGGAGGAGGAGGAGGAGGAGGAGGAGAAGGAGGAGGAGGAGGAGAGCGAGGAGGTGGAGGAGGAGGAGGAAGAGGAGGAGGAGGAGGAGAGCGAGGAGGTGGAGGAGGAGGAGGAAGAGGAGGACCACTGCAAAGCCAAGACGCGCCAACGATATTGCAAGACACGCTTTCCCCAAGCTCTCTTTCCGTGGGCCTTTTCCTTATAAGGATGGTATGTTCGTTGCGGGAAGTGCCCCAGTGCAAGACAACCGTCTGAGAATCCTCAATCTTGCCACAGCTCCATTCCTGGACCTCAGCGCCACGAATCAACGAGAGACACCCCGACGTTGTGATTTTGGCACAGCATGGGCCCCAGAGGTCTGGACCCCTCCCCCAGGGCCGGCTTTTCATTCGGAGTCTTTCTGCTGATGGTCTTTGGGCCTCGCGAGACGCGAGCCAGCCGCTGTGATTTTTGAGCAACGAGAGGATCTGGGGGACGTGCATGAGCAGGATCCGGAGTTGCTTTTGTTAATGGTCTTGGGGCATGGTGAGGCGCGAACCAGCCGTTGTGATGTTTGAGGAACGAGAGGATGTGGGCGGACGCGAGCAGGATCCAGAGTCTTTTTGCTGATGGTCTTGGGGCATGGTGAGACGTGAACCAGCCGTTGTGATCTCTGCGCAACTAGAGGATGTGGGGGACGTGAGCAGGATCCGGAATCTTGTTGTTGATGGTCTTGGGACATGGTGAGACGCGAACCAGCCGCTGTGATGTTCGAGCAGCGAGAGGACGTGGGGGACGTGAGCAGGATCCGGAATCTTGTTGTTGATGGTCTTGGGGCATGGTGAGACGCGAGCCAGCCGCTGTGATGCTTGAGCAGCGAGAGGATGTGGGCGGACGTGAGCAGGATCCGGGCTGTGATCGAAGAAGCGAGCAGGACTTTCCCAAACCCGCTCGAGCCGCGTGCCCCCGTCTGCGCCGACGCCACGGGGCCCGTGCCGACGCCACCCTGGCGCGCGGGCCGCGCCCTCCGTGCGCAGGCACCTGGAGTCAGGCGCTGCGCACCCGGCCGGCAAGATTTCTGGAAGCCCCAAATATTCAAATCGGCGGCGAGCGAGGGGAGGAAGTGGGAAGGAGAAGGCCTTCTCTCCAGGCCTCCCAGATGGGGTCGGAGCAGGTGGGGTCGGAGGATCGCGCCGCATCGCCGATGCATCGCCGATGCGGCTCGCTGTGGAGCCCGATTTGCTTCACGTCGACGTCTCCGATGCATCGCCCACGTCAACGATGCATCGCCAGTGCGTCGCCGATCATCGCCGATACATCGCCGATGCATCGGCGATGCGGCGCGATCCTCCGATCCCATCTACTTGGACCCCAACTAAGAGGCCTCTATTCTCAGAAGGCCACAGGACTGCTTAGACGCCCTCGCGCCTCCTGAGAAGTTTCCTGGGTCTTCGGGGAAGTCTAAGGGAAGTTCTCAGGAGGCCGGGGGTTCCGAGCCTCCTGAGAAGGGGTTCCGAGCCTTCTGAGAAGGCCCGCCCCTTTTCACTTCCCCCCCGCGCTCGCCGCCAACCAAAGTTGGCCATGAAGGAAACGTGTCCTGAGGGAAACAGGTTCTGAGGTTTTTCACCGCTCTCGCCGAAGAAGAAATGAAGCCATAAACATAAACTTCTGGCGCTCCGCTCCGATTTCTTGGATCCGCGCTGGCCCCCCCCCCCCCCGGCGGCGCCTCCGGCGCCGCCCCTGCCGCGCTCCGCGCGCCAGGGAGGGGGTTCCAGCGCAGATCCAAGAATCCCGCACGGAGCGCCAACGTTTGTGTTTCTGCCGTGTTCTCCTACCTCCTCCTCCTCTCCTCCTCCTCCTCCTCCTCCTCCTCCTCCTCCTCCTCCTCCTCCTCCTCCTCCTCCTCCTCCTCCTCCTCCTCCTCCTCCTCCTCCTCCTCCTCCTCCCTGAGGTTCTCCGCCGTGTTCGGGCCCTCGGGGCCCTCCACGGCCTCCGGGCTGTCGGGAAACGGCTCGGGACGAGAAGAGCTCGTCCTGGGTGAAGGCCCCAAGTCAGAGCGTGAATTACCTACCCCGCTTTCGCTTCCAGGCAAAACCAAGCCATACCACGCGCCTCCTCGTCAAGCGGCCTGACCAGTACAGGCTGCAACTTGGCATCGTTTGGTATCTCTTGGAAGCGAGGGTGGTCAAAAGCGAGGTAGGTTTGCTTTCCCCCTACCAAGGTCTGGTCCCGTTTCCCTCGGGACCCGTTTCGCCCATGTTACAGAGCGCTCACGATTTTATGGTTCAGTCGGGCCTGTCCCTTTGCAGGAGGAGTGCTCAACAAAAAGTCGAGACATGCGATACACATGAGACGGGGAGGATTTTTTGTTTTAGTATGTTTGACCATTGGGGGGCATTTTTTGACTATTCTTCGTTTTTCGCCCAAAATCCCCCCTGTAGGGGACACGCCCGCCCTAATGCTGCAGGGCGCTCGCGATCTTCTGGCCTCCGCGGCCCCCGCGCGAACCGCCGGGGAGCCAGGAGGCAGTGCTCCCCGGGCGTCCGACGATACGCTCTGTTCCGTGCGCCGCCCCCCCCTCCCGACCCCCGACGTCATGATGTTTTCATGACTTCCACCCCCAAAGGTTCAGTCGGTGGACAAAATATCGCAAGTTATTTGAGCATTATGATAAACAGCGTGCCAATTAGGATCAGATTCCATCGATCTCTGAGGACCCCCCCATCCCCACATTTCAATGTTGACTTGCGGCGTTATTTTAAGTGCAGCCGCGCGTGTTCAGGAGCAACTTGCAAAACTTCGTCGTCCCACCGTTTCGACCTGTTCCCCAGGATCGGTTTTCTCATCTTGAGTCGTCTCTTGACGGCCCCCCAGGGGCCGAAGGTTGCGGAAAATTGCGCGCCATGATGTTTTCTGGACGCCCACCCCCAGAGGTTTCGTCCACTCTGCGTGCACACATCTTCAAGTGATTGCTGACGCGTTTTAGTTGTTGTACCCTCCTCTCCCTTCTCCTCCGCCTCATCCTCCTCCTCCTCCTCTCCTTCTTTTCCGCCTCCCGCTGTGGATGATACGAGCTGGTTGCGCAGCGTTTGGCCGTCTGCGATGCACATGTCCGTCTTGCCGTTTTCATCTACGCACCGCCTAGGTGTCTGATGCGCCGTCCGTCCGTCCCCGGGACCAGTTTTCTCATTTTGAGTCGTTTTTCGACGGTCCCGAGGCCCTGTAAGGGCCCCCAGGGGCCGAAAGTTGCGAAGAACTTCGCGCCATGGATTTTTGTCACTGCTCGAGGGGGTCTGGGCCAGGAGGTCCCAACTCCCTCACCGTGGCAAGCGTTTCACCCCGGAGCAATCGTTGATGGCCCGTGGTCCCGGAATCGGGGCCCAGGGTCAGGGACGGCCTGACCGACCCCCCCAGCAGACCATCCCCCTCCGTGACGTCCCCCTCGCCCCTCGCCCCAGGACGTGCGTATGCGCGGCCAGAGGGGGGTCGGTTAGGCCGCCCGGAGGGGCCGAAGTCAACAGAAAGCGTCTGGGCTGTTGAGTTTGTCGCGGTCTCCCCGCTCGCCGCCGGGGCTTCGGGCAGGGCGTCGCGGGGCTGGCTGGTTGTCGCCAGGACGCGGGCCAGGAGACGGCGGGTCAGAGAAGGGGCCCTGAAGGACGGGGCCCTAGGGATGAGTCGGTCATGTCCCTCCACAGGAAGAGAATTTAAGAATAGTCTCAAAAATAGCATGGGGACGATGTTTCAACTATTTTCTGGTGTTGGCTATTTTGCATTTTTCTACCAAAATCCGCTTGCAGGAGGACATGCCCAACCTAACCCCAAGTGCGAGCACATCGAGCAGTCGAGATTCGATATGTGGTCTATGTTCTTTCTTTGGAGCCCCATCCCTGAGCCGCCGAATGATCGGGCCGAACGAAAAGGGGGGGATAGGGAAAGGGGGGGTTACGAAATCTGCTGCATGCAGCTGGTTTCGGCCCCGCCGCCGGGCCCATTCCTCGATACATGGGCGCCTCCCGGCGCCGGGAGGCGCTGGGAAAATCAGCTACGTGAGCTGATTCTCGATCCTGCCCTTTGCTATCCCCCCCTTTCGTTCCCCCCGAGAGGAGGAATCCCACAGCAGTCCGAGAAGGGAAGAGGTGGAGGGCCGTGCCGCGCGCCTCTTGGGGGACCCGGCGGGGGGCACTTCCCGGCGGACTACGGCCTCATCGAGATCGGCACGCCGCCGCAGGCCACGCAGGCTCGCCTTGGGGGCAGCGCTGGAGGGAGGCAGCGCTGGAGGGAGACAGGCGCAGGGGGGCAATGTTTCGGGGGCGGCAGAGAGGGGGTGATGACTAGGGGGGGGGGATATCATGGCGTGGGCCATGCTATTTCCTCAGATTTCATGGCGCCTCTTCTTATTTCGTTACGTACCCAGCCCCCCCCCTGGGCCGCGCACGTGCCGCCGGCCATGATTTGCGCCCCCCCCTCTTGGACGCCCCCTTCCTGGCCGCCCCCGAATGTTAGGAGGGATGTATGCGTAGCGGGTGATATGACATGCGATGCCACCAGGAAGCCGGGTGCACTTCGGGGGCAAGGTTCTGGTCGGTTTTCCGGCCTCGGGGCGCGTTCCAGCAGCTGCGCCTCGCCGAGAGCGTTCCCGTGATGCCCAGAGCTCCCCGAGCGCCCGCCAAAGACCCGAGGTATGGTCCGAAAACTGGACGACGAGGACCTCTCGTGGGGCAGGCCCGGGGGGGGGACGCATCGACCTCCGATCGCCCATGCATCGCCGATAGGGGCCTAGCCCGCCCCGCCCAGGACCAGCGGAGTCGCCTGCAAGCGGGCCGATCGCCGACCTGTCGGCGCTGAGCCGTCGATCCTTGCTCGGTGTCCCCCCCCCGAGCTGGTCCCCCTCGGGCAGGGCTGGGACGAGGATACTCGCAAATCCCTTCCAGAGCGTTCCGGAACGCTCTCTGAGAGCGCTCCTGAACGCTCCGAGAAGGCCGCGGCGCCCGAGACATCCTCCATGAGCCGCCAGATCTCAGAGATTCTCGATGTATCCTCACCCGATGTTGGCCTCGTCCTGGTTTCGTCTTGTTGACGGTCCCGGGGCACGGTGAGTGCCGCGAGAGCACGAAGGCCGCCAGCAACAAAAGACGTCGTGCTTGCTTGCGCGGGTCGACGGGGTCTAGGGGAGCGCCGACCTACCGGCGATGCCTCACTGATTTGATCCTCGCCCTGGCTTCGTCCTAGTTCCCCCCCCTGCCATGGTTCGTTCTCCCGGGGCCTTGCTTCGAAGAAGAAAAAACGGCCCAACACATACATTGATGGCGCTCCACGCGGATTTCTCAAAACCCGCGCGGGCCGCCACAAGTTTCTGCTTATTTATGCCGTTCTTTCTTCTTCCAGATGCGGCTTCTCCGACCCCACCTTCTCGGACCCCACTTGGGTGGTCCCCAGAAAGAGGCCGCCGTGGCAGGCGGCGGCTGTTCAAGAGTGTCTGGTGGTGGCCGCGCCCTCTGTCGGGCTCCGACTGCTCGTGCGGCTGGAAGGAGGACTAAGTCGGGCGTGTCCCTCTACAGGAGGGATAATTAAAATTAGTCAGAAAATAGTCTGGGGACGATTTTTCGACTATTTTTGATCATTTCGGAGTATTTCTTTGACCAGTTTGATTTTTCGTCCAAAATCCCCCCGTAGGGGGACATGCCCGGCCTATTAGGAGGAGAAAAAGAAGGTAGATGATATCAGATTGTTCTGGAGGGTATGGTTTGACGGTTCGATCGTGGCGCTCGAAGCGTTCATTGGAGAGCTTGTGCAGGCTCCATCTGCACAGCTCGGAGTTCGCAAGTGTGAGCGATTACGAGGCACGGCATTGCGACGCTTCCCGCACTGAGCAGCTGCACGCTATCTGATTGAATTTCCATTCGATGTCGTGCTCTGTTGGGTCTGATTTGGTTTTCGAAATCATCCCGCCCCATCATCCGAAAGGATTTTCGGCAGCTTCCTTCCAGGCCGCCCCTCCCCGTGGGCCCTAGGTCATCTTCGACACCGGCTCGTCCAATCTGTGGGTGCCGAGCGTGGGCAACGCCATGGCCGGCAAGATGAGCAAGAGATTGTGCCCTCGAGAGAGCGCCGTCGGGGCGGAGAAAGTACGCAGCATCAGGTTCTTCCTTTGTGTGTGTGAGGAGCACGTCACTTGTGTAGGCTCCCAAATATCACGCAGTGGCCTTCAGCCCATCCCGCCACCCTGCCTGGATCGTAGACAGAAGGCTTCTTGGATCTTAGAGGCCTCTTGGGGTCGATCGTAGTCGTGCGTCCTGTGTGCATTCGACTGCGCCCTTCCGTACGTCGTAGGTTTCGTGGTCGTTTCCTGCTCACTGTGGGCATTAAGCTTGCATTGTTAACCACCGCTTCGGATGATGGACATTGCTTCGGTGCTATGATTTGTTCCTCCTCTTCTTCTCCCTCCTCCTCCTCCTCCTCCTTTTCCTCATTCTCCTCCTCCTCCTCCTCCTCCTCCTCCTCCTCCTCCTCCCCTTCTCATTTCTTGCCTGATTAGTTTGTGTCTTGTCGTGCGCGCCAGTGGCATCCCCTTCCCACGGCATGCAGTTTGCCCGACACAGGGGGGTCTGCTCAACGGGGTCGATGCGCGTATTGTGGCGCTCGTGGAGCGAGCATAATACATCTCCTAATTCGATCCATTCGCATTTCATGTTGACGAGTGGGGCGCTTGTCAGGTGCTTATTCTCGCTCGCTTCGCCTCTTCTTCCCGTTTTTTTACCAAAGAATATTCTTGAAGGCCTCATGGGGGCCACCTTGGGAACTTTTGGGAGCCTCTGGGGACTTTTTGGGCGTTCCGTAAAGACATGGAGGCGGTCTCGGGAGCCTTCTTCGGGTGGAGGGCCCCGTAGGCGTAAGTCGGGCCTGTCCCTCTACACGAGGAATATTAAAAAATAGTCTGGGGACGATTTTTCTATTATTTTTTGATTAATTTTTGCATAGTTTGGATTCGTTTTATTTTTCGTCCAAACTGGGCCTGTAGGGGGACATGCCCGACCTAACCGTAGTCCCCTTCGAGTTCCCCCTCTGGGAGACCTCTTAGAAACCGCTTGGGCCCATCATTGTAACCGGTGTGGGGTGATCTTGGGGCATTTTGGGCCGTCTTGGACGCTCGTAAGACCGAAAGAGGAGCATTCGAAGAAGAAAAAACCACATAAACATAAATTGTTGGCGCTCCGCGCGGATTTCTTGGATCCGCGCCTGGGCCCCGCTGGCGGCGCCTCCGGCGCCGCCCCTCGCGCGCTCCGCGCGCCAGGGAAAGGGGTCCAGCGCGAATCCAAGAAATCCGCGCGGAGCGCCAAAAGTTTATGCTTGTGTGCTTTTACTTTTTCTAAGCATGCGAGAGTGACGTACGACCCTTCGGCTCCCCGATGACTCTTACCTGTTGGGAGCTCAGGAGGCACCCAAGACCCAGAGCGGGTCCTTCGGGGCCATCTCAGGGCATGCTAGCAGCTTGGATTCCGAACCACGCTCCCGAAGCCTCTGGAAGCCACATCCCGAGCGCCCAGGAGCGCCCAGAATTCAGGGCCCTAAAGCCCTTGAAGAGCACTTGCGATCCACAACATCGAGAACTCGAAGGGACATGAGGACACTCCACTTCGTCTCTTGGCCACGGTGGCAGACATCGGCCCCACCCTAGGGCGCTGCAGAAAAGGTGGGAGCATAGGGAACACTTTGGCCCAAGATGCCTCTTCTTCCTCCTCCTCCATTCCCTGTCTTCATCCTCGTCTGACCGTGTCCGAAGGGCTGGCTGGGCGTTTCTCTTGAGACTCTCTCGCAATATATGACCTTGAAGCTTGAAGCCGCAACAGCTGCAATGATCGGGAGGTGGTTTTCAAAGTGAAGCTGTCGCCTTGGCGCCGCGCACACTCGTCTCAAAAGCCTGCCACAGTTACACAGATGAAGGGCAGGCCGTTTTCAAAGCGGAGCTCTCGCCTCGGCGCCGCGCACATCAGTCTTAAGAGTTTGTGACAGGTATGCACGGATGGAAGACGGGTCGTTTTCAAATCGGAGGTCTCGCTTCAGCGCCGCGCAGATGCACCTTCAACGTCCGTTACTGCTGCACGGATGGAGGGCAAGTTCTTTTCAATGAACCAGGCGCGACCCCAATTAGGGCAACGCTTCCCAGGCGGCATTGTTTGGCAGTGTTTCGAATTGCGTTTCTGTTTTCTGGCATTGCGTCGACATGCATTGGCTTGCACTAGTTGAAAATTGCTTGGCATTGCTTGGCGTGCCTTTGAATTGCTTGGTATTGGTTGGTATCGCGTGGCGTTGCTTGACGTTGCTTGGCACTGCGTTGCGTTTCTATGCGCTGCTTAGCATTACTTGCCATTGCTTGGCGTTGATTCCCGGATAGTTCCTTGGAGCAGAAAGGTTTCAGAGGAGAAGCGGACGGTGGTTGGTGAGCAGCGCAAGTCCACCCTCGCCAAGTTGGCTTGCTTTGTATTGTTTGGTGTTTTTTGGGCATTGCTTGACACTGGTTGACACTGCTTGGCGTTGTTTGGTGCTGCTGGGCCCTGCTAGGCAGTGTTTCGCATTTCTTTGCATTGCTAGGCGTTGCTTGATTGGCATTACTTGACATTACGTGACGATGTTGGGCATTGCTTGGCATTGCTTGACATTTGTGTGCATTGCTTGGTATTGCCATGCCTTGCTTGGCGTTGCGTCGCATTGCTTGGAAGTGCAAAAGAACCAATGCGAAGCAACCCCGAGGAAGGCCATTGCAAAGAAACAAGACTGTGAAACCCAAAGAGCGCCACTAAAGAAACAAGACCGGGGAGCCCCTGGAGAACGCCACTGTAAAGAAACAAGGCCGGGGAACCCCAATGAACGATGGCCAGCGCAGGTCTCGCACCAACCGATTGTTCAAAAACTAGCAAAATCTCGTAAGGAAGCCAAATCCAGCTGTCTCTGGCAATTCCCGCCACCGTGCCAGCCCAGCATGCTCGGCGGCTCTCCTTCGAAGGGGACACCGGAGGAGCGTAGTGGATGTTCTTCGTTGGAATCTCGTGGGAGGCCTCTTCGGGGGCCTCTTGGAGGCAGTTTTGAGGTTTCGTTGGGGGACCGTTGGGGGGGGCCTTTTGGGTGCCTCTTGGGCGCCTCTTGGAGCCTCCTGGGCGCCCATTGTGGCCACTTGGGGCGGAAGGCTCGGATTTTCGATTCGTGTTTCCTCTCTGGGACCCCGTTTGAGGCCGTCTTGGATGCCTCTGGGGCCGTAGTGGGGCGCTCTTAGGCCGTCTTGGGGCCCTCTTGAAGGCCCAAAGACGGCCGTTTTGGGATGGTCTTGGGGGCTACTTGGGCCTTTTTGGAGCGTCGAAAAGCCGAAAAGGCGAGAACGCCAAAATCTCCCAAAAGCGCAAAGAAAATCAATGATTTGTGCCTTTGGGAGCCCTCTTGGGAGGTCTCTTGGGGCCCTTGGAAGCATCTTACGCCATCTTGAGGCCCTCGTGGGCGTCTTCAAGCGATCTTTCGGCGACTCGGGGCCTCTTGGACCGTCTTAGGGGCGTCCTCCTGGACCGTCATGGAAGCCATGGTGAGCCCCAGGGAGGCGCCATGGCCGCCCAGGGGCCCCCAGGGAGCATGGGCGATGCACGCAACACTACGCGGCCCGGAGGGGAGGTCTCTTAGAAGATACAAAAACCCTACCAGACAGCATGTGTCAGTCTAGCACGACGCAACGTGCCAGGGGGCACGGTGGCGGATTGATCGAAAAGACAATTCTTGACGCTACGCGTATCCCCACTAGTGGCGCCTTCGCGGTTGCCTCCTCGGCCGGCACTTGTCCTGCGCCGTTAATTATCTGCTTTCCCGTGCGCTGTGCCCCAGCCTCGTTCACACCGCCCTCTGGACTTTTCCTTGCGGGCCGCGAATCAAAAAGTATCCCCACTAGTTTCCGTGCATGTGCAGGCGCGGTCGGCTGTCGACAGTGACGGCTGGATTCGCAATTATCTGGCTCTGTGCCCCAGACGACCTGATTGACCCGCCCTCTGGAACCGTCCTGTGGGCCGCAGATAAAAAAAAATCCCCACTAGAACATTCAAAAACAGATCGCCAGGCGGGTTGCCTTGATCAGGGAAGTGTAGAAGCATGCAGCGGAACAACCACTTTGCAAGCGTTTCGGGGGCACTGAAACGGCGGGAACATGTGTTGAATTCTGTAACGAATGTTCCCGTGGCGCCGCGGTTTCATTGGGGTCTTTTTGGGTCCCTCTTGGAGTTATCTTGAAACCCTCTGGGAGCGGAGAGGCTGAGGAGGAAGGAGGACAGGAGAACGGGAGGAGGAAGAAAGGAAGAAGAGGATGAACCGATTGATGGATGGACGACGACGAAGCCGACGACGAGAACGACGAGTCAACCATGAAACCGTCGCAGGGCCTTCGCTCCGCGAGCCTTTTGGAAGCTTATTGACAACTCCTTGCAAAGACCTTGCGAAGACATTGCAAAGACCCTGCAAAGACCCTTGCAAAGACCCTGCAAAGACCCTGAAATACCTTGCAATCCGAACCATCTTGAGGCCTCGGAAGGCCAACGGAAGCGAAATGGCGAGAACACACAAACATTGATTTTCCTGAGGTGTTTCAATAGTGTTAGCCTGTTTGGGCACTCTTGGAGCTCTCGTGTGGCGGTATGGGGGCCTTCTTGGGGCTCTGTTAGGGGGGTCTGGGAGGCCTCTTGGGGCCGATGTTGGGCCCCATGCATCAAAAAGGGGAGGTCCTCAATTCAGGTCCCCCCTCTCGCAGGCTAAAAAAACCGTTTTGGGGCGCTTTTAGGGCCGCTCTTGGGCGCTTTGGGGGCCCTCTTGGGCCCCTCTTGGGGTCCATCTTGGGGCCGTCGTGATGCTTCGAAAGCCCATCAGAAGCGAGCCCTTGGAGCCGCCTTGGGGCTGTCTTGGGGCGTTTTGGAGGTATGTCGGAGGCTATGTTGAGCCATCTTGAGCCATCTTGGAGGCCATCCTGGGGTCTCCATCTTGGGCGCTCTGACCGCTCCGTCCCCCCCCCCTCTCAGGCCCAGGGGATGGGGTCGGGAAAGGGGTCGAGGCCCCCCCTTCGCCCACTCC